CGTGAAGCCCAAAATTGGGGTTCTTTAGGGTGGTCCGATTGGGAGGATGTACAGTGGGATGAGGGTTGGGTTCTTGGGGCGTTTGAGGATCTTCCAGGGATGGAGACACTTCAAAATTCATCCCCATGGCTCCCTCAAATTGGTGTTGACCCCATTCCAAAGTCAATGAGACCCCAAAATTCAATGTGAAACTGCTAATTGGTCCCTCAAATTGATGTTAAATATCTCCAAAAGCCAATGAGACCCCAAAATTCACTGTGAACCCCCTGACTGGCTCCACAAATTGATGTTGAATCCTTCCCAAAGTCAATGAGACCCCAAAATTCACCGTGAACTCCCTGACTGGCCCATCAAATTGATGTTGAACCCGTTTCAAAGCCGTGATTGGTCACAACTCAAAAACTCCTTGAGGCTTTTCCAAATTCCTGGAATTTGGGGCTGAGGATGACAGTTTTGGAGTCTGGGATGACAGTGATGGTGACGATGATAATGATTGTGGGGGTGATGATGATGACGATGATATCGGAGTTGGGGAATGATGATGATGATGACAATGACTTTGAGATTTGAGGATGATGATGATGACCCTGGGGTTGGGTGATGATGATGAAGATGATGGTGATGAGGATGATGATGATGATAATACTGATGCTGGAGTTGGGGAATGATGATGAGGATGATGCTGAGGTCTGAGGATGATGGTGATACTGAAGGAATGATGACAATGATCCTGGGGTTTGGGGATGGTGATGATGATGACGATGATAATGATGATGAGGATGATAATGATGACGATGATGATGTTGGTGATGACAGTGACCCTGAGGCTGGGGGATGATGATGGTGGTACTGGAGATAGGGGATGATGATAAAGATGATAAAGATGATGATGATGATGATGATGATGATGATGATGATGATGATGATGATGATGATACTGGACTTGGGGGCCAACAATGCTGACACTGACACTGAATTTTGGGGCGGGTCTGCACCCCCCAGGACCGGAAGCTGACCAAGGCGGAGCAGCAGCGCTTCAAGGAGGAGGCCGAGATGCTCAAGGGGCTGCAGCACCCCAACATCGTCCGCTTCTACGACTCGTGGGAGTCCTCGCTCCGCGGCAAGAAGTGCATCGTCCTYGTCACCGAGCTCATGACCTCGGGCACCCTCAAAACGTGAGTGGGGGGCAGGGGTGGGGGTCCGGGGGTGTCCACGCGTGGCTGACGCGGCCCYGCAGGTACCTCAAGAGGTTCAAGGTGATGAAGCCCAAGGTGCTGCGGAGCTGGTGCCGGCAGATCCTGAAGGGGCTGCATTTCCTGCACACRCGCACGCCGCCCATCATCCACCGCGACCTCAAATGCGACAACATCTTCATCACCGGCCCCACCGGCTCCGTCAAGATCGGCGACCTGGGGCTGGCCACGCTCATGCGCACCTCCTTCGCCAAGAGCGTCATCGGTGAGCGCCGTGGGGACCTGGGGACAGCCCWCTGGGGAYYCCCCCTGACCACCYGAAYCYCGCAGGGACCCCYGAGTTCATGGCCCCYGAGATGTACGAGGAGCGCTACGATGAGTCGGTGGAYGTGTACGCCTTYGGGATGTGCATGCTGGAGATGGGCACGTCCGAGTACCCCTACTCCGAGTGCCAGAACGCCGCGCAGATCTACCGCAAAGTCACCAGCGTGGGTGTCCCAGCCCCCTCCCCAAATTCCCCACGAGACCCCCAAACCTCCCTCAATCACTGTGTCCCTCCCACAGGGCATCAAGCCAGCGAGTTTCCACAAGGTGACGGACCCCGAGGTGAAGGAGATCATCGAGGGCTGCATCCGGCAGAACAAGGCTGAGAGGTGGGGAGGGGGCGACATGGGACCCCCACCCTCCAGGACCTTCCCTGGGGGCTGAACTCAACCCTCCCACCCCCCAAAATGTCAGGCTGTCCATCCGGGACCTGCTGGACCATGCATTCTTCGCCGAGGACACGGGGCTGCGTGTGGAGCTGGCCGAGGACGATGTGGGGTTGGACCCGGCGCTGGCGCTGCGGCTCTGGGTCGAGGACCCCAAAAAGCTCAAGGGGAAACACAAGGACAACGAGGCCATTGAGTTCAGCTTCAACCTGGAGGCCGATGTCCCCGAGGAGGTGGCCTACGAGATGGTGAGAGGGCGGAAATCCCAAATCTGCTTGGGGTTGATTTGTCTCAATTTTGCCCAAAAAGTCAATGAGCCTCCAAAATTGGACCCTCAAATTGGTGTTGAATCTGTTCCAAAGTCAGTGAGACCCCCAATCTGCTCCCTCAACCTTACCCCAAACCTCTCCCAAATCCCACAATTCCCCAAATCCTCCCTGGAACCCCCCCAAACAGACCCCGAGTCCCCCCTCAGTGTCTCTCTCTCCTGGTGCCCCCCCTCCAGCTCCCCCAGACACCTCAATTTCCCCTCTAGACACCCCAGTTTTCCCCTTGGAAACCCCAAATTTGCCCCCAGATACCCAAATTTTGCCCCAATTTCCTCCAGAACACCCCAATTTCCTCCCAGTTTCCTCCCAGACACCCAAATTTTCCCCTGGACACCCCAAATTTCCCCCCAGTTTTCCTCCTGGACACCCAAATTTTCCCCTGGACACCCCAAATTTCCTCCTCCACAGGTGAAGTCGGGGTTCTTCCACGAGAGTGACTCCAAGGCGGTGGCCAAGTCCATCCGGGACCGGCTGGCGTTGGTGCGGAAGGGCCGGGAGCGGCGGCAGCCGGGGGGGACCCGGGGGGGCCCCGAGAATGAGGACACTGAGGTGGACCAGCACGTCCGGCAGCAGC